TCGGTTCGCAAAGCACTCTTCTCCCTGGACGTCAGCAAGTCGAGTGGGCCCGATGGAGTCCCTCCCATTGTGCTGAAGACGTGTGCTCCGGAGTTGGCACCGGTTTTAACGCGTCTTTTCCGGTACTCCTACTCCCAAGGCGTAGTCCCGAATTCATGGAAGACAGCTTTGGTCCACCCGATCCCTAAAAAAGGCGACCACTCAGACCCGTCCAACTACAGGCCTATCGTTATCACCTCCTTGTTCTCCAAAATAATGGAATCCATTATAAACTGCCAGCTCATGAGGTACCTTGAAGATCACCAGCTGATCAGTGACCGTCAGTACGGTTTTCGTCGGGGTCGATCAGCGGGTGATCTTCTAGTTTACTTAACTCATAGATGGGCGGAGGCAGTAGAGTCCAAGGGGGAGGCATTGGCCGTTAGTTTGGACATAGCGAAGGCCTTCGATCGGGTCTGGCACAAGGCGCTTCTTTCGAAGCTTCCTTCCTATGGGCTTCCCGAGAAATTGTGCAAATGGATCACCAGTTTCCTTGCTGATCGGAGCATCAAGGTCGTAGTAGACGGTGCATGCTCTGATTACAAGCCTATCAACGCTGGTGTTCCACAAGGCTGCGTGCTATCACCAACGCTGTTTCTCCTGCATATCAATGATATGTTGCTAACTGGTAGCATTCATTGCTATGCAGACGACAGCACTGGGGATGCCTTATATACCGGCCGTGCCAATATTTCTCGGGAAAACGTCGCCGAGTACCGGGACAAACTTGTGTCTGAAGTCGAGTCTTTGCTTAACAAAGTCTCGGATTGGGGCCGACTAAATCTAGTCCAGTTCAATCCCCAGAAGACACAAGTTTGCGCGTTTACCGCTAAAAAGAACCCCTTTGTCGTATCTCCTCAGTTTCAAGGCACTCCCCTTGCTGCCTCAGCCAGTATCGGAATCCTTGGCGTCGACATATCGAATAGCGTGCAGTTTCGTGGTCACTTGGAAGGGAGGCCAAATTGGCCTCTAAAAAGCTTGGCGTGCTCAGCAGAGCGAGACAGTATTTCATGCCGGCACATCGCTTGCAACTTTACAAAGCGCAAGTTCGGCCCCACATGGAATACTGTTCTCATCTCTGGGCCGGGGCACCCCAGTGCCAGCTCCTTGACCGCATCCAGCGCAGAGCGATTCGAATCGTCGACGACCGAGTTCTTTCCGATCAGCTCGATACACTGGCACTGCGTAGAGATGTTGCATCTCTTTGCGTATTTTATCGCATCTATCACGGGGAGTGCTCTGAGGAATTGTTCGGACTAATTCCAGTCGCTCAATTTCACCATCGCACGTCGCGACAAAACTCGCGTTACCATCCGTACCATCTGGATGATTGGCGGTCCACCACTGTGCGATTTAGAAGAAATTTTCTCCCTCGCACAACTTCTTTGTGGAATCAATTACCACCAGCGAATTTTCCGAACCGATACGACTTAGGAACCTTCAAGAAAAGAGCTTACACCTTTCTAAAAGGCCGGCAACGCATCTGCAATTCCCCTGGTGTTGCGGTTGTTCATGGGCGGCGGTAGTCACTTACCATCAGGTGAGCCGCAAGCTCGTTTGCCCCCTATTCTATAAAAAAAAAATCGTATCTCTGTATCCTTCTAATCCTACTAATATTATAAACGTGAAAGTTTGTGATGATGTATGGATGTTTGTTACTCTTCTACGCAAAAACTACTGAATGTAATTTAATGAAACTTTACAATAATATAGCTCATACATTAGAACAACACAGGCCATAACTAATAAAGGTATTTTGTAAATTGGTCAAATATATGTGTTAAGTCGGAAAAAATCTCATCTGGCAGCTATTTTGGCGTGCGGTGCAAAAGTTGTAAGAGTTACACAAATATAATGTATAGTGCAATTGTTTCTTCTAATATAGTTCTATAAAAATTCCGCAAGAGTATATTTTATGTGTACGCCATTATTACCAAAATAGTGAACCATAAATACAATAAAATTTAACACTTCATTTTCAATACACATTTTGCAGTAACAAATTGATTTAATCAAAATAAATACTTTAATCGCTTCTGATCTTCAAAATAGATAAACTTTCTTTTGAACTACGTAATTTGTTCAAATATTTTAAAAGTAACGACGATACGAGTAAAAATTGTGAGGACAGGCGCGCGCAGTGCGGTCGGGCGTACTTCGTGCGAGGCAAATGTACCTCTTCACGTTTATACCGCTGAACCGATTTAGATAAAATTTGGTATATCTCGGTGAACCGCCATATGGCGTGGATAGTATAGTAAGTTTTGTGGCGATGTGCATTCGTAAGATTTGGCGGCTGGAATTAATCCGAACAATTCCTCAGAGCAGGTATGGTAAATGCGATAGAAAATCCAAAGCTATGCAACATCCCTTCGCGACGCCAGTGAATCAAGCTGATCAGAAAGAACTCGGTCGTAGGTGGTTCGAGCCGCTCTGCGCTGGATGTGGTCAAGTGGAAGGAGCTGACACTGAGGTGCCAGGAGATGAGAACAGTATTCCATATGGGTCCGAACTTGCGCCTTGTAAAGTTGCAAAAGGTGTGTCGGCAAGTGACCACGAAACTGCACCTCATTCGATATATTACTTGGTAATATTTTTATTATTTAATTAACTTGTTGACATTATATTAAAATTATATACAATATTAAAAACTATAATAATAAAAAAAAAACTAAAACTAGAAACTTAATTATCATATATTCCTACTCCCGCGGTATTGTGTCAAGAACGCTGGCTGCGTTTCCCCGCTGAATGGCTATACTTAGCCTTTGAGCGAGAAAAGAACCAGCCCTCTTATCACTAGCAGCAACGACCAGCCGCGGATGGAGTTCCTTTAGGAACTTCACCGCACGTGGACCCCACGGACCGATAGTCTCTACAGCAAATGGCACAAATATGTAGTCATCTCTCAGAGACTCATATTTGCGCCACTTACTCAGTTAAGCTGCCTCTGATTCCGCCCCGGCTCTAAACGAGATACCCCTGAGATGAGAGGCCGCCAGTGTCTACGCAAGTAGCATCCCACACTAGGGCTTTACCTCTCTCCCAAGGGACCAATGTCATACCGTCGGGTCTCCTGCCATCGTCTCTAAATATCCACAAGGCTCTAAAACCGAGGGAACATTTATAGAGACAAGAGCCCTTCGAATGACATCGTTCAAAGAAATGTGTCGTGAATACCTACCAGCGCTTTTCTTACATCGCGGCAAAATTCCCGGTACCATCCACACCATCTGGGTGCTTGGCGGTCCACCACTGTACGTTTCACTAGGAGTTTTTTTCCTCGTACAACTTCTCTGTGGAATTATTTACGACCGGCGATTTTTCCGGACCGATACGACTTAGGGATCTTCAAGAAAAGAGCTTACTCGTTTTTAAAAGGCCGGCAACGCACCTGCAATTCCCCTGGTGTTGTAGTTGTTCATGGGCGGCGGTAGTCACTTACCATCAGGTGAGCCGTATGCTCGTTTGCCCCCTCTCCTATAAAAAAAAAAGATGGTGTAACCACCTAGTGAGATACCTATCCAAGAAGTCGATGAATGCAAGTAGCTCAGAAACGACTTTGTAGCATTCGTTGGGGGAGGCTCTATGTTTGGCAGTGGACTTATAAAGGACTGTAACTATGATGATGATATAACGCCCTTCTTAGGGGTTGAATTTTCCAAAATCTTTTGTAAGTGGTTGCTTACGTCACAAAAGGCAACTAGATACTGTCGAAATGACAGATTTCTCCGCTGTGCGTTAGAAGATGAGTCAGTTACTTAGGACCTCTTTCATATACAAAAAAAAGAAGAAAATATTGCTCGTATATATAATAACATAGGATATTCTAACACTATTTATTTCATGATAAATAATAATATACATTATTATGACTCAGCATCATATAATCACCTATTTGCTATTCTTTCAACTTAAGGTTGAAACTGCATTATCCCGACTAGATACACTACCTATTTCTAGTTGGTAGGACTTCTTTGCTGCCTAGGACTATCTGGGTAGGTAAGTACCACCATGTTATTTAATTCTTTCTCAAAATTGCAGTGTACCGATCTGAAGTGCATAGAGAGCCAGGTCATACAGGTTGTGAAGCATTCCACCTTAGTCCTTAGAAGTGAAGACGCGTCTGCAGCTTTCTTTGTTTGAAGTGTCTGTAATATATAATATACTCTGTGGTTTGAAGTCGGCTGCACGTGTTTGTGCGCTGTAGGTGCCGCTTACCATCAAGTAAGGGACTTAAATTCGTTTGTCACTTCAATTTTACATTATAAAAACCTGGCATGTTGTACTTGGAGATTTGCCATACTCACCACGCTGGACAGCCAGGCTTGTAAGCGTAAAGCTGATTACCTGGGGTGTAAGACGTGGTTCATAGGTCCACGAATTATGGGAAAATGCAAACTTATAGCGTTAAGTCGAATGTCAAATTCCTACAGATTCGGTGTTGTTTCTTCGTCTCATGTCGGGGCAACGTGAACACTTTCGCATACATCTGAAACCCCCCAACGCCAAACGCCTTTTGGTAGTTCCTCCTAGGAAGAGAAATCCTACTCTTCCTCCTCAAGCAAGTCACGCCGGAATAATTGCACACATTAGTTATTTATAAAATTCTTTTATATAAAATATTGATTGTAAGTATCAAAGGACAATGTTTACACCAGATTGTTCATCGTCACCATCACTGCATCTCCACCAATCAGACCTCCCACACAGATTTGCACAAAACACGGACGTAACATCTTGCATGCCTAATCGAATCGTCACTTCATCTTGATTTTCCTGCAGCTACACAGTGCACTTCTCCTTTCTTTCCCATCAGTAGATTCATTAAGCGCCATTTCAGCTGCGTCTGGTTCCTTTATAAACGTTTAGTTTTTACGACTTGTTCTACATTTCAGAAAGTGTATGAAAATAACATTACATACAATATAAGGTATATTATGCTCATATTTTTTTTATTTATGTAAGTGATGTGCAGCAGAGATTTAAAGGTCTCAATCGTAAATATATTTTTTTATAGGATAGGGTGACAAACGAGCACACAGTCCACCTGATGGTAAGTGGTTGCTGCGGCCCATAAACATCTACATCTATCCTCATTTGCGAATCAAAATGCAGATGCGTTGTCACCCGTGAGGACTAAGATTGAATGCCTCTTTTCCAGTAAAAAGGGTATCCGATTCTCTACACTCACCATACGAAACACAGCAGTTTTAAGCTGCTATTTCACGCTGGTATTCTGTGAGAGCGTGGTCCTTCCCCGGTCGAGCCGACCCACTCGTGCTACAACTATACTACTAATATAGCTGCAGCATGGCTCTACCACGTCCAATATATTATTTGATGAACAACAAGGACTAGCTTGTTGTACAACAAATGTGATGCGCCGCATTCGTAAATAAATTTAGCTATTCAAATACACGAAATTCGATCGAATTGAAACATGTACTTCGGTCGTAATTTTATTATTACTAAGTCAGTTATGCTGCTACAGCTAAGTAGCTTCATGTCTCGGCCCCCTGTACCATCTGAAAAATACAGGTTTCTGTTTTCCTTTTTATATTAACTGACCAATATAACAAACTTATGTATTTTATCACATTTTTTATTTCTGTTTTGATGTTGTTTTTAAAGTAAGAAATATCAGGATAATCGAATTCAATCAAAAATACTCGAGTACTTGAACAATATATTCAAGTTAGTGACACGAATTCGAACTAGAAAGTACTAAAGTATTTGGATACCAATGGCTGACTCAGCACTACAATACAACAAGCTTAAAAAATTCGAGACCATATTAAGTTGTTATGGGGACAATACGTTATTCTTTTGTTTCTGGTTTAATAAACTAAGGCAATATAATTGCAAAATTATACAAAATATATTATAATTGAATAGTGAATAATTGCAAATTTAAGATACAAACTCAAAACTATAATTTAACTAATATTTAAAAAAAATATTTAACCTGACACCTGTTAATTGCAATATGAATTGGCAAGAACAAGGAAGGACAACGCTCCAATCAAGCAATGTACTCGTAAAATAAAAAAGTAATTCCATCTTAGTCCTGAAGGGTGACGTAACTACATTTTGATTCTTAATCGAGGATAGATGTAGGTATATGTTATGGATCATAAACATCCACTAATCTCAGAGGGATTAAGTGCTTGATAATCACCCTGATGTTCTTCTACAAGTCGTGATATTATCTTTGAAACGTGTTCTAAACGACTTAAAACCCTTACTAGTTTAACTACTAATTTAATATATAGAAATTATTAATAAACTTAAATAAAATAATTTAAAAAATACACACACAGCAACATCGCTTTATTTATAAATATTTTACGTAAATAAAACACTACAAAATAATCAAAGCTTCCCAGCAGTTCATAATAGTGGCAATCAAATCAATGAAAATGTCTTACGCATTTACTATCTTTTGTGTTGTTTGATAAGAATTCACGCTTGCCAAAGGGTGAATACATTCAAATAAATTCTGAAAGGTATCAAGACAATGTAGGAACTATATTAAAAAGATATTAGCATGATTATCTCATAGAGTAACTTAAGATTGTCGCGTATGTTTACGCCATTTCTATAAATATTCAAAGAACATCAAGCTATCGTTGCGAACTCTTTAGTTGTACCTACTTGTTTATTACGTTTGAATTGTGTATCGATTTTATTTTGTTGATTGTATTGGAAAAAAGCACAGTTACAGCGCATATATGTAAAATGAGGTCCATGAGCAGCTCTGGCCACTGTTCTCATTTTTTTCACTACTGTTGAATAAAGTATTTTCAAGAAATTGCAAGGAAACAAACCTTTTGTAATAATATTTCCAAAGGCATGTTTCACTACTCACTTGTAATAAAGAATCAGAATATAAAAAACACAGCAAACAAACCCTAAATTAGATTTAGCGGCACAGACCCTAAAAGTCTTTTTTATAATTTACCTTAGTTAGACGCGCTTAAGTGATCTTTTTTTTATTTGGCCAAAGTCCCATTACCCTTTACTAAAAGTCTATAACAATATCATAATACAATATATGAAAATTTGTGCAATTTATGGATTAACATTTGTATCTGGGTCACGCTTATATGGTAAAAACATATTTCAATGAAATTTGACAAAAGAGCCACCTAGACCTGCATGAGGGATATATTTTACTATGAGAATTGCAGATTATATATATAATAAATAGATCAAAACTAAGAACAATTTGGTTTTAAGTGTCTCAAAAAGTGTTTACTCATTTATATGCTCAATAACATGATCTTAGTAACTAAACAAAGTAAAACATGCAATTTATATGGATTGTAGATTCAAAAAGGTGTTTTGTTCAGAAAAAAGCCCAAAATTGGTGAGGATATTTTATTCCATAATACAGCATAAGACAAACCGGAATGTCACATTTCGCTTTTTCATTTAATCTCCTTGATTTCCATGAAAAAAAAAACTATCCATCGCACTTACCACATAATGTTTCGATTGTGTCTCAACAATTTCTTCTAAATTATTATAAAAATGCTAGTTTATAATTAATTGTGTATGACCAAATAACCTGTGAGTCCTGAGCAGTTTCCTTGTAGAAAGAAACACTTCCCAAACAGATACCATGGTGGTTAATACATATTACAATACCTAAAACTAAATATCGGTCCGTTATGGGAAATCAACTATAAATGCAGGTCCATCACAACAAGCCGCCATTCGATGAAAGAAGAATAATCCAATGAATTGTTTTCAAATGTAAAACATATAACAGCTTACACTACCTAATTAACTTCAATAAAAATAAACTATCATCATACAATAAGTCATCCAAATAATAAATGAAATATATGCACAGAAATTTTAATAAGTGACCATACAACCCCATATGGAGGTCTATAGATACGCAAAGTTCAGAGAATAGGTGTGAATATGTGAATGATGTGAATAGGTTTCAGCCGATGAGTGTCATCCCAAGAAGCATATAACACATTGCCTCCAACTCTCCCAGAGCCAGCTCAAGGTGTACTGTGTAAGACAAATCCGAAGAAGCATACCACTCAGTGCAGACCGAATGAGGCATACCACTAAAGGCACATCCCCATAACAACAACATTGAGCATACCAGAAACACTACATGCTTACCACATATAATAGATAGGCTTTAAATTTTCAGCCTTATTAAATTTCATACCACAAGGAAAACACGGAAGCAAACTACCTGCCTATTGGTCACTGCCACTCACTAATAATATTAATAGAAAATAATGAATTAAAGTCGTATATGTGAATTAACTTTAAATACTTTATTACGACAACTTATTCCACATTATAGTATACATATAAAACATGTTATGCTGTGATTCTTTATATCACGAGTCAGCTACGAACCTATCCACATCACAATGCACAATCACTCTATAGTGTACAACAATCCACTGTTTTACTTTAGTGACAGTTATAAAGAAAAATCGTAATTTTGCAGAACTTTATGCGCTATTTTGATTTTTGTTCCACGTCATCAGAGATCGAACAAACAACGCATCCCAAATGTGGATTCCACAACAGCAGTAAGTACAGCATGACCCCTGGTTAATGTGTACACTGATATAAATAGTTTTATATTATTATAATGCATAGGATTTAAAGTGAACATTACATATAATTGTTAAGTTCAAAATACACAGAAGTTCAGCGAGAATGCGATGCGAGCTCGGTCACCGGGTGACGCATCATAATGAATTCGCACATAATACATTGTATTCATTCATAGCAAATAAAGTTAACATATCTTAAACCATAGTCTCTTTCAAAAATCAGATTTATCTGTGAGTTGATAGCGCACATTTGGTTAGCGGTTGGCATTCTTCAGCTGATTGGAGAGCCAGTCGAGACCCTCGTACAGTCCGTCGCCTGAAGTAGCGCACGTCGCCTGGATGTACCAGTTGCGATTGCGTAACGAGTGCAGGCCCAATTTGTCTGTTATTTCCGCTGCATTCATTGCATTTGGCAGATCCTAACAGATACAAAAAATATACTTTAAAAAAAGCAAAATTTAGATTGCCATTGAAGAGTCATAACTTAAATATATGATATAAGGATATAAATGAAGGAAAAGTAATTAATTTTGTAACTTAGCACCAAGAGATAACTGTAATAGTAGGGAAAATAAGCCATAATATACAGTAAATCATAATATACAGAACTCAACAGTTTAAAAAATACAGTTGTAACATTACAACTACGTAATTAAGCAATAAGTAAGGCTTATGTTCAGCAGAGGACTGTAATAGCCAACAAATGAATGGATTAAGGTTTGCACATGCACCTTTAAGTCATAGTACAGATTATAAATTATATCCAGCACTGTTATCATTAACCTATCAAGCCCTCTATATAGGAAAACCATGCCCAGTAGTGTACTTATATAGGCTTGAGATACATCCATTGCTATCTCAAGTATATGTGCTCATGGCTAACATGCAGCATATCTAGGCTGCAGCATAAAAGGGTGGGCTTGACCAAGGACAGACACACACACAAATACCAGTGTGAAAAAACAGCACAATGCTGCTAACTGCTGAGTTTATAGTGAGTGACGAAAACCAAAGACCCTTTTCACTAGTAACCAGTCATTACGCCTTAGTCCTCATGGGGGTGAAAATGCATTTTCAATCGGATTCTTAATCGAGGACACATATAAGTGTTTATGGGTCACAGCATCCACTAATCATCAGGTGGATGGACTGTATGATCCATTATTATCTTCACTTTTATAAAAAAAAACATGTTTTCCATTTATATCAACATTATTACAGCCCATATTGAGCTGTATTTTAACATCCCACATGCTTTTTTGTCATCATCATAACTGTAACTCGAAAATTTCTCCACACTAAATTGGTGAAAAGATCAAAACAATGTTACATTTCAAACATTCATCGAACCCCTTTATCCTATATTACTATAAAGGTGGTATAAGAAAATTCATCACCCCATTATGTCCCCTCATTGTGGTAACAGAAAACTTAAGAAATACCAAAAAATGGCTTCTGATAAATAGCGTTAAAATGATATTGTTGACGCCAGATGTAAAATACCGGCGACAAAGTCAAAGTCCAAGACTTCTAGTAATGTGATCCGATCCTGTCGAGAGGCCTGTGACTTTTACAGACAGATAAGGATGAAGAATAATGAATAAACAATGTAGATCTTATAGACCAACATGTGTGTACTATCCAGAACTTTGCCACAATCAGACAGCGGCTTATTGATGATAAAATCAAAATTATCATAATAATAATAGGGTTATTTAATGATTATGACTTGCAATTAGTATATGTAATACAATTATTTGTATTTCCAAACCAAAAATGTATATTATATGTATAATATACAATAAACAGCTAGTTTAAACCAGAAAAGAGGCAAGTTTTCACGTAAAAGAAATTATGTCGGACAGGTCGGCAGGTTTTAAAAACATTTACACAAGAATCTTACCTGTTTGTTCGCAAAAATAAGAAGTACAGCATCTCGTAACTCATCTTCACTTAACATACGCATAAGCTCTTCACGCGCTTCGCCAATACGCTCTCGGTCATTACTGTCTACTACAAAGATGAGACCCTAAAATAAAAGCAAAAAGATCTTAATCACTTTTACATTACCATAAATTGTAGTAGCAATTAAATCATCAATATAATCATTACTACAGCCCATCTTAAGTGCTGAGTGGTTTGTGAACATATGGATTATCTTGAGTCTATTGCAGAGTTTAGTCCTAAGTTCTATCATGTATCCTACATGCCATATGAGGCTGCATCTTGAGAACACTTTTCTGCAATAATTATTGATATTTTAACAGTTATATAAATTTTCAATCTTTGAACTGTTTGTTACTTATTTTATTGATGATAATATTATAATAGATTATCACAAAAAGAAACTACATAGCATGCCACAAGTATAATAACTATGATTTTATTTTATATACATTAATAAACAACAATAGACCCAAAATGCTAAACTTCCCCTTAAATTTGCCATTCAGAATACTAATAGTTTAACATTAAGCAATTAAAATGTATAGAGTATTCATCATCATTCACACATAAAATTTAATAAATTAGTAAAAAAAAATATTTGTTGGCTCAACCACAGATGGACTACACTCACACAGGAAGACAAGCATAAAATGAAAGCATAAAGTTGCAATGTTTCACATGGTGAGTTTAGAAAACTGGAGTAGAGACCCATTTGCTATGGTAAAAAGGTATTGCTCTGGGGAGATATATGAACATTTTGATTCTTAATCAAGGTTAGATATAGGTGTTCTTGTTTGGCAGCATCCACTTATGAAGCATCAAGTGAACTGTATACTCATTTCTTACACATACTTGTGTTAAAAAAATACTAGTACAATTAGATAAAATTATTTCAAAAGATAAATGAAAATATATCTAACATCTTTTTTCATATTGCTTCTCAAGAGCATATTTAAGAATGATACTTAATATTCTGCTATGATAATAATCACAACTATTGAATTGTCATTGAGCATTCAATGAATACAATAAATTATTATGTATATCTCTTTCAAACAATTCTTAACAAATAATTTAAAAAATGCTTAATTTAATCATGAAATATGCTTAATTTAATTTAAACATGGTGTGAATTAAGAATGGTATTAGAAATAGTGACTAATTGAGGCTGTATTGTAGCATACAAAGTGAAAACAGCACTAATAATGTTTAATCATGGAGTACTACCCGTCTGAATTAATAACAGTATTAGAAATAGTGACTAATTGAGCCTATACTGTAGCATACATAGTACCTTAAGTGAAAACAGCACTAATAATGTTTAATCATGGAATACTACCTGTGTGGATAAATAACAGTATTAGAAATAGTGACTAATTGAGCCTGTACTGTAGCATACATAGTACCTAAAGTGGAAACAGCACTAATAATGTTTAATCATGGAGTACTACCCATGTGAATTAATAACAGTATTAGGAATAGTGACTAATTGAGCCTGTACTATCGCATACATAGTACCTAAAGTGACAACAGCACTAATAATGTTTAATCATGGAGTACTACCCATGTGGATTATTAACAGTATTAGAAATAGCGACTAATTGAACCTGTACTGTAGCATACATAGTACCTAAAGTGAAGACAGCACTAATAATGTTTGATCGTGGAGTACTACCCGTGTGAATTAATAACAGTATTAGAAATAGTGACTAATTGAGCCTGTACTGTAGCATACATAGTACCTAAAGTGACAACAGCACTAATAATATTTAATCATGGAGTACTACCCATGTGGATTATTAACAGTATTAGAAATAGTGACTAATTAAACCTGTACTGTAGCATACATAGTACCTAAAGTGAAAACAGCACTAATCATGTTTGATCGTGGAGTACTACCCGTGTGAATTAATAACAGTATTAGAAATAGTGACTAATTGAGCCTGTACTGTAGCATACATAGTACCTAAAGTGAAAACAGCACTAATAATGTTTAATCATGGCGTACTACCCGTCTGAATTAATAACGGTATTAGAAATAGTGACTAATTGAGCCTGTACTGTAGCATACATAGTACCTAAAGTGAAAACAGCACTAATAATGTTTAATCATGGAGTACTACCCATGTGGATTAATAACAGTATTAGAAATAGTGACTAATTGAGCCTGTACTGTAGCATACATAGTACCTAAAGTGAAAACAACGCTAATAATGTTAAATTTGTGATTAAACAAATAACATAACAGTTTATTTGAGAATTTTCAGTTACTGAAAAATATCTGATTTATATATTAAAAGCCTAAAATTAATTGAATTTTGTATTTTAATTATTATCTGAATGTTATTATAAGAAGGTAACTTAATTGATAAATAATATAATAATTTAATTTAAATTTATAAATTCATATTTTAATTTTTTTAATAATTAAATTTAAATACAATAATTTAATACTTAACATAAAAGTACATTGAACAGTTAAAAGCACAAAAATGCCTATTGCAACACAACATAATAATTAAATTTAAATGAATAAATTAATATTTTTTTAATAATTACCTATATTTGAATATAATAATTTAATACTTAAAATAATAATTTAATACTTAAAATAATAAATAACATTATTTTTGAACCAACTTTAAAAAAAAGGAGGTTCACAATTCAACAGTATTTTCTTGTGTGACCTCAGAACTTTTTCTAGGTGAACTGATTTTCATGATTCTTTTTATTTCAAAGCTGGTGCTTATGTGGTCTGATAAAAATTTGATCAACATCTGACCACTAGTTTTTGAGTTATACTTAGTAATGCGTATTTAATTGACTTCAACTACATTGATGATGTTCTCATTTTATTTATATTGAAGTTGGTTGTACAAAATTATTAATTTTACCAGTTGATATATTATTAGTATATCATCTTTTTATAGATTTTTATATTAGTACATAATCCCTTCCACCCCCTTCCACCATAGGATAACAAGACTCTTTACCAGGTCTCCATTCCATTGTTATTGACATTTGGCATTTTTGAACCAAATGGTTTATTTCATTGTTCATAATGTATACAGCAAAGGTTAGCAGCAAAGGTACAGAATTATTTTCTAGCTGACTTTCCATTTAGAAAATGGGTGATTTCAAAATAGAATCAAATAGGTTATTGTTATGCTTAGTCAGTGCTTATGCAGATCTTCATATTATCATCAAGTTTATGGTATACTGGTGCAATTTAGCTTATAGGTAATACTAGTTCCTGTGTATCTCGACTTGTATCTGAATTACAACCATATCCAGCCACCTCAGTATGCACCATCGTTTGAGAAAATATTCAAGAAATGGTTACAATAAGTAAATAAATAGTAATACAAAGCTTGTTTTGGCAGTAAAGTAGAGTACAATACCTGTGTGTTCTGGAAGTAATGCCTCCACAGTGGCCTAATTTTGTCCTGGCCACCAACATCCCATACAGTGAAACTGATGTTTTTGTACTCTACAGTTTCAACATTAAATCCTGAAATAGAAACATATATTAAGTATATTTAATAAGAGATAAAAATAATTTTTCAATTATTCTTCACTGCAAAAATTAATATTGTTCAAGGGAGTCTTATTATAACTATAGTTCTCTACTCTGCTTGACATAATGAGATGAGCTTGATATCAAATTTAATGAGTAAATTAGGTGCATTTTAGCTTAAACTGCAATTTTCAAACACCAATGAATTTTTTAGAGTGATGATTAGGACAAATCCTCCCGAAAGCAGGTGAGGCCTGTATCCAGCATTGTACTTTTAAGGACCAATAAAAAAATTATACATGAATCAGTACAAGATAATACACATATTAGGACTGCCCTTATTGATCATTCTATTTTTAGTCTTATTGTGACACTGTATGAATATTATAAAGTATACACCATTTTAAATCAAACTACTTTTACAGATTTTAGTACTAATTTTTTTAATTCCCAATGTTTTAAGAGCTTTCCAGCACCCATGGTAACGGGAGACTGAGGTGATTGTAGTCCCAATGTCAAAGTTAACCCGGAGTACCTTCAGCTTTTTAATTATTATTTTTGGTCCGATCTATGCTGAATGAACTTACTCTGACTTGAAGCCTTGCAGTAGTGTGCTTGGGTTTAGTTTTAATATTATTAATTACCAGATCCCAAGCAGGTGGTAGTATCCAGTCTCCTTCTCTATTAAAATTAGGATGAAATTAGAATTCTCTCGGATTCCGTCGGGTATAAAAAAAAATATAAGTACAATTAAACAGAATAAAATCTATAAAAGTAGTTTCATTCAATGTGTAGTGTTCACATAAATATAAGAAATATACACCATTGTTGACAAATAGGCTGTAACAAATGCAATATATTAATGTTAAGGTGAAGCTGCTGACCATTGTGTCTATTTATACCCCTTACAGTACTGAAAACTAGATGTGGTAACTATTCTTTTAGTCAACTGCAACATGTTTACCTAATTGAATCACAACAATAAAGTTTGATCCATTTAATCTCAACTAAACTCTTAAACTATAAGTATTCTTAGGCTTTTGGATACAAATTTTGTAGCTAAACAGGCAAATATTTAAGAGCCTTGAACTGTCAATCTTCCTTTAACTATTGCATGCAACTTAAAAATATGTTTTAAGATAGTTGCCACTTTTATATTAAGTCAACTAAATATAGAACACACATACACAAATAATAGCTAGCCTTATAGGTACAGATTCACCAAACAGCTTGCTAGATGTACCTGGCCAGCAGAACTGCTAATGCATGGTGAGGTTTAACGCTGTTCAGGTGCAGATTGATCTGCCTAATGCATACTTGCTGCCAATGCTTAAAACTAATGGATCAGCATGGGGTAGATAAATCAAGTGCTAACTCTGCATAGGGGTAAAAACTTGAACAAATCTATAGGTTTATTGATTGATAAATCCTTGAGTAGATTCACATGGCTATACTATGCACTTTTTTTAGCCCTTGCTTCCCCCAAACTTATCTAACTTTTCTTTCTTCAACACAGATGAAGCTATGACAAATACATTTATATTCAACCTTTGATTAAAACAGATGTTCCAGGATGTGTGAAGTCACAGATTGAATCTGATAAGTATCTGTCGGGTAAGTCTATATTTATAAGAATATGGGGAGTTAATAACATATTCTTATTTGACAGGAACTGTAACATTTTGAAGGAACCGTAATAAAACATGTATAAGATCATATTTTGTCAAACAGTACACACTACACACGTGAATCGGTTCAACAACAATGATTTATTTATGAGACATAGAACTTTAAAGTTCAGAAAAAAAATATAAATTTCAGAAGAGGAAATCAACAAAATTAGGAACTAGGGATTAACCACAAACACAAGTTATAGTAGCATGAGGATTAAGCCAAGCTTTTAAGTGTCACAGAATGTAAGTAATCTGGGATCTATCCCCCCCAGTAATATTAAGAGTTGATTTACCATATGCTCAGCAGTACCTGAATGTCATAAGGTATAATGTCAAATTCACAAAAACACTAAAATAATTGCTCCATAGTCCAAATTTCTGCCAGTTACCAACTGTTATATTACTGATCTATACTATATATAGACTACAAGTTTTTAAAAAAGAAAATGGTGTTTGATAACAGAACAGTTTTAAAAAACGTCTGTTAATTTAAGCATACTTAAGCAGTCTAACTAGTGAGTAAAAGGTATTTATTAACAGATAAATGTAATTTTCCACACAGTTGAATAAGTTTTATGAAAGAACTTATCTATACTATTGATAAATTAAAAAGAGATTACAAACATTGATGATAAAAAGAGAAAGTTACCTACATGAACACCTCAAACCAAAGAAATTGCAAAATTATTATAACCTAGGGAAAATGAAAGAAAGATCTTATAAAAAAGAAATATAATTAATAGTATTAACTTACCAATAGTTGGAATTGTTGTAACAATTTCGCCTAATTTTAGTTTGTATAGTATAGTAGTTTTACCAGCAGCATCAAGACCCACCATCAATATTCTCATTTCTTTTTTGCCAAATAGGCCTTTAAATAAATTTGCAAACATATTCCCCATTTTGCGGCTATGTAAATCGTCTGAAATAATAAATATTTAAATATTAAATACATTCACTCTGACTCATCCGTCAGTCTACGTTACAATAATCAATGATAATGACATGGCAAGTAGACACACCAAATATAATTTAACACAAGAATCTATATATGGAATCACTTGTAACTAATAAAATACAACCAAAAGATTAAAACACAAGTAAAGTTTAAAAGACATTGAAATAAATTTAATTTTAATAGGTTTTAGACAAAGATCGGTACTGCTGTTGATACCTCCACTACGGTTACCACCCAGGGTTTAAAATGTTAAAAATCTTCACTTATGATACCTACAAATTTGCGGCATTGAAGTAGTTTACAAATACAGGGTTTTACTTACGTTTTCAGAAGTAAATGTATGAAATACGACGAAAAACGCTACAATACAATAGTGTCTCTACAATTCGCTGGATGTCAAAATGGCGGCGAACGTGGAAGTTGTTCGTGCCTATGCCACGTATCGGTGAAAAAGTGGCCAGTACAAAATTGAAAAGAAAATATTAAAATTATAAAGTCTTAATTTATGCGTTAATTATATCGTACAATGAGCTTAAATAAATAGTAAACTTGAAATGAATTTTAGTATGACATCTACTATAATTATTAATTAAATTCCATAAATCGTAACAAAAAAAATTTTTTTTGTTAAGTACATACATTTAAATGCATACAATACAAGCGCGCTTGTTAGCGAGTATGAACAGTAAGCACGGGTATATACACGCACGTTGATTATTTCTTTTGCCTGTATTTACTTGAACCTTAAGTTGCCATTGTGAAATGTGCAGCAACAAGATGTAAAAGACACCGCACACTGCAGACTTTCTATCGTGCGAGATTTTAATCGGTTCTTTAGGCTGTGTTTCTACCTGAGATGTGCGAGGATGCGTAGCGAGGGGTGGGTTTGTTAAGAACCAATAGAATCATTTCATTTACCTAGCTTCGCTCAGCACAGCTCTAACGGCTCAACGGGGTGAGGCTTTTGTACATACAAAACAAGGGAAGGATGTCTGCGAGGGATGTGTTGTGAGGGATGTGTTCGAGGGATGTGTAGCGAGGGATATGTTGCGAGGGATGTTTTGCGAGGTTAAACAAAACGAACTACATTCAATTTGAAAACTTTTTGAAACATTCCTGTTTATAATAATATCTCTTTGTAAATTGAACTTTGAAACTTTTTACTTTTTTTCACAACACCTATAGGTATAATTATATTTGTAGTCCGCTACTCACCCTCGCACCGCTCATCTGCGCACATTTCACAACGTCGCTACGCATCCTCGTACCGTTCAGCAGCCTAGCACATATCTGGTGGAAATGCTCACACCGTTCCACAGCCTCACTACGCATCTTCACACCGCCTAGCTACCTCGCACATCTGTGGTAGAAACGCAGCCTAAAACTGATTTAGGACCTAATACTGATCAAGCCGCTTTTCACTATGGGATATAATATAATATATATTACATCTCGAGATATAAATTAATATCGCTCACCATACTTTTAAATGGAACCGTTTACACTGAGCTATAATATATATTACATCTCAAACTATAAATATTTTTTCGATCGACCGAGCGATATTTTCATATTATATTTCGCCCCCTGTAACCCGCACTCCGTTCCGCATCGCAGAACTGTGTGCGGGGTACAGGGCGTAATCCAATGACGAAATCACACTGGTTAAAATATATATCTCACAGTGTGAAAGCCAATCGCAGGATATAATTTATATTTCGGGATATAATATATATTATATCCCATAGTGAAAAGCGGGATTTAAGATGTATGCAAGTACGCATATTATAATTGGCACCGCATACTGCAGACTTTCTATCGCACAAGAGTTTAGTCGGGTTGGTCTGCTAGTGCGCACACTGCGCCAATTAAACAGTCGGGTTAGTGGTGAGCGCGCACAATAGCCAACAGACGGCCGATCGTTTGCGAGAAAATTGTAGCTATAGTAAGCAGCTCTTGAAGTGAGTAGTCGCATAATGAAACCTAAAGTATTGTCCAGAAATGTTATTATACAACAAAAGAGACGGATCAAGAAAACAAACCAAGAATACTGGGTGCATCCTATATACAGTGACAGATTACTTCTCTTCTCTCAGCTTTTTCTTTAAATTTACATCATATTTCAACTTCCTCTATCAACTGTAAAATAGATGGTTCGACAAGCAGCGCCATTTTGATGCATGCGCACTTCTTTTCCGTGCCAAAATTTTGAGCGAAGTGACCTTATGGACTGAGTCGGCCGACTAAATAATCGGCGTGTATGTGCGCGTCCAAGAGCGCCGTACTGATTTAGCAATTGGCTGATAGTTTACCAAAAATTTAGTTTGAAGGGTGTCGTGTATCCCATGAAACTGATTTATCGGCCGATAACTAATTCATTTTTTTTTCAATAATTTAAATTCAGCCGTGAGTACTAAAATGGAATGGCCTCTTTTGCAGTAAAAAGGATCTGCGGTTCTCTACACTCACCATGCGGAACACAGCAGCACCAAGCCGCTATTTTACAAGTGAGAACGGTGAGCTAAAAGCAGGGAAATTTGGAATAGGGCAACGGAACCCAAGGGGCCAGCAGATGGCCGACTTCATGGAGAAAGAGGGACTTTTTATGATGAACTCTTTCTTCCAGAATCGGCCCCACAGGAAGTGAACCTGGTTGAACCCCGACGGTTCGACAAAAAATGAGATTGACTTCATTATGACGTCCAGACGACAACTGTTCAGTGATGTCTCCGTGATCGCGAGGGTGAAAACTGGTAGCGATCACCGAATGGTTAGAGGCACACTGAACCTAAACGTTAAATTGGAGAGGTCTCGTCTAATGAAGTCAACGCTCCGTCCCTCTCGTGCACCACCCAGTAATAGGAGCCCCGCATAGTGGGGCTCCGTCGACTACTTAAATTATTAAAAATTAACAATTAAATTGTATTTATGATCGAAAATTCATCAATAGAAATCGAACAAACGATATTTAGTAAAAATTAATTAATTTCAGGGATAAAAGTTAAAATTTGCCATAATTACCCTTATTGTAACTTAAAGATGAAATTTGTTTAATTCATTATAAATAATTAAAAACGAAAAAATAAGTTTCTATATTCGAACGATAACGAACAAACGACGAACAATTATTTCAAAATAATAAAATATATATAAAAAAATTCAAAAATCAAGAAAATAACAGCTAAGTGGGGTTAGGTCATAGACGCAGAATATACTGGCGTACAGACCGACATAGTGTGCAAGGGAGAAGATATTTTCCATATGGCAAAAATTCAAGATAGAAAAGGATACCAAATCTTTCTGTAACCGATTTTGAATGACTGGTCGTCACAAGTCGGCAAGCAAGAAATAAGCTCCTAGATATTTTGTAATTTTTTAGAGTGTAATGGTGGATATTTTTAGTAAGTAACTTTATTCAAAATGGTTACTTGTTCTGTGAGTGACTGTGGTGTTAATAATAGAAATAGTACTGATAATTGCACATTTCACATGTAAATTCTCAGGCCGTCTTCAATCTTTCGACGCGTTTATTTTTGGCCAAGATTTCTGTTATACGAGGGTGACACTGAAAGTTCTTAGAAAATAAAAAACTGAAAAAACTAGCAAGTTATTAGTTTTATTATATCTTTTCAAAATAGTGTCCATTTACAGTAATACATCTCCGCATCCGATGGAACCACTGAGAAAAGCACTTTGTCCACTCGTCCTTGGGGATCTCTTTCACGGCTTTTGAAACGCAGCCACTGCTTCCTCGGCGTGTTTAAAACGTTTTCCTCGAAGTTTTCTTTTATTTTCGGAAATAAATAAAAATCGCGAGGTGCGTGGTCGGGGCTATAGGGCGGGTGGCCCAGTAATATCACGTCTGACGTCGCCAAGTAGTCGATTGTTTGCTTGGCGATGTGCGATAAGGCGTTGTCGTGGTGAAGGAGGATCCTACTACGAGGTCGTTTCTCCCGAACTTTTTTAAATCCAAGGCAAGTGGCAAGCAATTGTTAGTGTACCACTCTGCAGTAACTATTTTTCGATCCTCTAAAACAATTGTTGCGTAATTACCTGTACTTCCGAAGGATGAGGCCACCATCTTTTTTCCCACGCTTCGACCTCTCTTCACTTTAGTTGGCCACTCCTTGGAAGGAAACACCCAGACAGCAGACTGTCTCTTAGTTTCAGGATCATAACAACAAATCCAGCTTTCGTCACCCGTAAGTATGTCGAACACAGCATTTGAGTCACCTCCGTAAAATCTTTGAAGTATTTCACGACACCAATCACCACGACGGAGTTTTTGGGCCTCTGTCAAATTATGAGGTATCAACCGGCCACAAAGCTTCCTGACTGCTAAATGTTCATGGAGAATTTTGTGGACTTGACTCATACCGATGCCTAATCTTGTCCGAAACGGTTGATAAGTCACTCTTTTGTCACCCGTAAGTATGTCGAACAAAGCATTTGAGTCACCTCCATTAAATCTTTAAAACATTTCACGATACCAATGTTGATTGGTGATGAGTCACTCTTTTGTCAGTCTCTATCATAAGCCGAACAACAATAATGTTATCTTCAGTCGTCGCCGTAGAAGGCCGTCCCTCACGCAGATCATCGGTGAAATTAGTGCGACCACGCTTAAACTCATTAAACTAGTTGTAAACAGTGGCACGAGATGGGGCTTCATCGTGAAAGGCCAATCGAAGTCTATCATAACTTTCTTATTAACTTAAATGACATCGAAAGTCATAAAAAATCATTGTACGAAAATATTCTCGCGTTAAATTCATGCTGACGTGACACAGATAATTTTCAATTTGCTGTCAAATCGTAAACAAATGACAAATTAATACATAGACTTAGAATATACTGGCGTAAGTATATTCTAAGTCTATGAATTAATAAAATACATACACAATAATATTGGCAAAGAGTCCCATTTTCAAAATTAGAACTTTTTTTTTTATTATATCGTTTACAAGTGGCCAGTTCTAAAAACTTTCAGTGTCGCCGTCGTATACTGTTTAAAATATATAATGTTTTCAATTATTTCTTAATTTTGATATTTTGCAAAAAAAAAAAGTCACGTTGTTGATAATTTTCATGAATTTCGTAAATACATTTTCATGCAAAATGTTTTATATGTACTTACGCTAGGGATCGAGGGTTGGGTTTAGAATCAAGTCGCCTGAATTTGAGGAGGAGCACTGTGGGGAGGTCAAGGGGGCTTATTTCAAGCGCCCCCATGCAATTTTAGCTGCAGGAGCTGCGTCGAAATATTTAATATAATTTTCTAAAAATATTCCTAAGACATTGACAGTAATCAGTAACAGATATACTCGACCAAAGAGAATATAATCACTACGTTTATACTCGACTTCGCTATGGAGTGTAGAGTAGAAGGAGGACCATC